AAAAAAAAAAAAAATGCACACTTTTACAAACTGAAACCAACCAATATGGAATTTTTTTCATTTTGGAAAAACCCTAATATATTCAAATTATTCAAAGGTCTTTAGAAAAGGATTTCACTTTATTAACTAAAAGTAAATTTAATTATAACTCAATAAGTACAAATCAACATAAGCCAATAAAAAATATTTTAATTTCAACTGCTTGATTGGTATTTTTCTAAATTAGAACTAATTTTTACAATGAATAAACAGTCAGCTCTCAAATATTCAATAAATCCAACTTATCCATTCTTTTAGATATATTTCCTCTTCTCTTTTAATCCCTTATATATCTAGTGTTCATTAGTACTTTGGCTCTAGATATATAAAGGAAGATGAGAAAGCTAAAATACAAGACAGTTGATTTTTATTTTTACTAAATGGTTACAGTACAAGATTGGGTTGATAAACTATTCAAAGTATTAAATATGTGGCTGTCACATAAATCCCCTATTAGTAAACAAATTAAGAGAACTCACTAAATTTAGCTTTATTTCTTACTTCGAGCTCTATGATTTTTCCTCTTATTGTCTGTCCATAAATAAAGTTACCATTGATGTAACATCAGTAATTCTTTGGAAATAAGCTATTTCTGACATGATTTCTATTATTTACAGAAATTCCAGCCTACGTATCCAAATATATATTTTATAGATAAAGACATCCTACAAAGTTAAAACAAATGTAATTTTAAAAATTCTGAAGAAGGTTCCCTTTGAACATTTATTGACTGAAAACTAAAATCTAAAACTTTCATAAATAATGACAAATTATCCAAATTTAAAATAAACTAAATTATTAACATATTTGAGTCTTTTACATCACCTCTTTTGTTCTAACCAAGATTGCTGTTTTTAAAAAATACCTTCTATAAGTTCTAAATTGGAGATACTTTATTATCTTCAAAGAAATGTTATAACTGGAATAAATATAAGAAATTTGATTAAAAATTAATGGTTAATGAAATTTAGAAGTCTTTGAAACAGGAAAAGGGACTGTAAATATTGTTTACTTAAGCACTAAATTTATGTTAGCATTTACAGTTCATTGATGTATAATGTACTATAACAAACCCAATCATAAAATTTTATTCTAAAAGTCAGAATCATTGTTTCTGAAATTTATCTCTTGCAAAATAAACCTAAATATATGCTAGTGCCATGGTTTCTTGTGTGTGTTTTTTTCAGCATTTTTAGATAAATGGAAAATGAAGTGAAGGTAAAGAGAGCTGAATAATTCAAATAAAGAAATAATGATTCTGAATTAAAAATATGAACTGGGAAATACTATAGAGAACTTCTCATTCTAAAATTTTTATTTATAGAAAATTGTTAAAATCAGATTTCTCAGACTGATGTTAAATAAAAACAAGTTAAGATGGTCGTAGTTCTGGGATCAGTCACAGAATAATCCTGATACACAAAGGTAAAATCTCCTATATCCTTTAGAAGGAAATAAATAAATACAGCATTCTTGACTTAATTGATATTGTGAATATTAAGTGACCTCATTTGTTAGGAGATCTTACTTTATTCAAAAGTTGTTTCATCCCACTAATACCCAACTCATCTTATTTAAAAAATTCCCTTTTAAACATAAAATTTCAATGATTTTGGAAAACATGGAGACTAATATACATCTATAGATCCACTACCCTGACTTAAGTGCTAAAATTTTAACTTTTTTGCTTCAGATCTTTTCTTTAAAAAAAGTTATAGCTACAACTAAAGCTCCCCCTTTACTGTCTTCCCAGAGTCACACTCTTTTCTCTCACAAACTGTAGAGGTGGTCATTTTTCTAAAGATGTGTACCTTCCCTATCCATGTTTTTATACTTTTACTACATATATATGTTTTTATAAACAATGTCATATGTTTTATATGTTTAAAAATTTACATAAATTATTCTCATTTTGTCATTTTGTAATTTCCATTTTTATTCAACATTTCTTTTGAAATCTAGGACTATTACTATATAAATTAGTTTATTTTATTCTTTCTAATGTGTTTTATTGTAAAGATGTACCATTCTGCTATTGATAGATGTTTAGGTTGTTTCTGACCAACACAGCATGAACATACTTATACCTGTATCCTTGCAGATATGAAATACTCCTTTCTATATTGCTGCAATAAAGACTTTCACTTAAATTGATTAGGTGGGCTTTTTTTAAGCACAGGTAATTGATGAAAAAACTAGAATGCTATTTTCTAATCCAGAATCATCAGTGTCTTACTATCTACCTTAGCTTAATTTTTTATTTCTCTGTAAAATCTTTTTCTTTGCTAAATGCCTGAAATGAGAATACCAGAAAATATGAAATCTAAGCCTTTTTTTACTTGGAAATGGTTCTTCTATTTAGGAACATGTAAATCATTTATTTGTATATACAGAACTTCTGTTTAGAATTCCAGTGGTGAATCCACTTCAGGAAAATAAAATGAGGACGCTATGTTATGTATCAGCAGTTGAATGTTGCTTTTTGCAGAAGCTATGTTAGGGTTGAAAATAATATTGTCCATATTCTCCCATTCCTGCCCACCTGAGGCATGACAGAATACTGACTAAATAATTCAGGAAAGCTGTGGAACCTGACTTCTCATTTCTTATGTTTTTAGGGAATAAGCGGCAGCGCAGCCTACCTTTGATTCTTTCTCTCCTGGTATTCCTGACTTGACTTTATCATGTGGCTCATCAAGAGTCAAATGATTCTTCCTTGCTTCACTGTCTTCAAGCAAGGGGATACAGCCAAGACTGTTATCTGTAAAACAAAACCCTCTTCGACATAAGTAGGAAATCCTTGGTTTTGGTACTACCTGAAAATGTAAACAGAATACAAACCCAAACCACTAATTTTAAAGAGTAGAGATTTTAAACTATGAGTTTTAAAAATTCTTAATACAAAACCCTTATTCTACCCAAATTAATGGTGTATAAAATATGTAGAATTTATATAAGTTGTATTTTCGGGGGTGCACTTCTTGTTTAAGATACTTACTTGCATAACTACTCCATGCTTATTATAGGAAAATTAGAAAATGCAGACATGCCAAAAAATAAAAATAAAAGCTACCCATAATTTTTATCATCTGTGAGTTATTCCTATTAACATTTTGGTTTCTATTTTACTAGTTTTTCATATATATATATATAAATTCACATAAGAATCTTTTATTTGCATAAATAAAATAAAATATTTATTTTTATATCCTGTTCTGCTCATTTTGCTATATATCATGAATATATGTCATGTTAATAAATGAAGCTATTATCATCACTTTTCTTCGCTACAAAGCTGTTCATTATATGGATGACTGAAATTTAACTGTTGGACATTTCTTTATTTCTAGTTCTTCATTACTAGAAATGCTATGATGAGCATCCTTGCATACATAACTTTGTGTACTTGAACATATACTTTCTTATGATATATTCTTAGAACTTAAAATTTTGTTTTAAAAGGCATAGGCATTTTAAAAAGCTTTTGCTACTTATTGGCAAATTGTCTTCTAGGAAGATTTATCAACTTAAAGAGTTCTACCATATAGAATATGTGAATGTCTATTTTCCCATACACTGAAAGTGTACAATTCTTAAATAAACATAATATATAAATCAGAGAAACAATGGAGGACTAAAATAAAAACACTTGACTTCCACATTTTTCTAGAAGTGGTTCAAGAAATACATAAAAAAATTAGAATGAACATACCTCGACTGGAATTCACAAGAAGTAACTGTGATTTTAACTTGTCAATAATAGTTTGCTGAAGTGACAGCTGTTCCTGTTGCTCACGTATTCTCTGCTCATAGTTTTCAGTCTGCTGACATAAAACCAGTTAGCCTGATATTTACTGACAGATATGTACATACATTTACTGTCTCAATAATTATATATTACATATAGATATGAGTTGCCTATATTGCTATTTCCCAGGTATTGAACATTTCCTTATGAGCTAAAAACTGGCTTCAGCAATTATTTATAATCATTACAAACATCTGTGATTAAAAAAACCATTTTAAACACTGTAAAATTTTAAAAAATCATCTTAAAGTACTTAATGTTAACAAAAAAGTCATGAATAATAAAATGATGTTAAAGTTTTCTATAAAAATACCCACTAATTTAAAAAAGGTAAGATTGTATGTCTTTTAAATAATCACACTTTTAAATTTATTCTTAGAGGACAAAATAAAAAGTAAGTGGGTATAACTAAGACATTACGAAAACTAAAAGGACATGTACAAATTATAAAATTCAATTGATCATAAACTTTCTTTCTTAAAGTTTTAAGAAGTCAAAAGAACACGGTTAGTTTTTAGTGGATATCTTAAATACCACAATTTCCCTTATATTTTTAATCCATCCATTTTGCTATTTTATTTTAATGGCTCTGAGAAATAAGCAATGAAAGAAGACACAGTTTGCATTAGGGAATGCAGATACTGTAAACATTCAAGCAAATTTGAAAATGTGGCATTCCCATTACCAAATTAGTACAAAGCCTTAAAAATATATTACCAAAAAACAACAGAGGATTCTTTACCAATTTCTTTCACCAAAGGAACCAATAAGTAAATGACTAAATTGTAAATTCCTTGAAATGTGAGATGGGGTCCTAATAATCTCATAATGCCCTTCAGTAGATACTAAATATTTGATTTTGAATTGATGTCTTCATCAAAGTTAAAAATCAGTAAAGCTCTACTGTTTTCGGAGACCAAGAAGCCTAAAGTTCTTTAAAAATTACACAGCTATTCCTAGATTCCCAAAATGAACTAGTTTAAGAAAATGAAGCAAAAAACTACATTTTCCCAAGTAAAAGGTAAAATTTTATAATATATTTCAAACATGGTAACTGACAGAGCTAATAAATAGCCCAAGTGATGTGCATGCTGCCTGAGTGTAGTCTTATATAACTTGATATTCCCATAGAGCTCTGCAAGGTAACTTACACATAAGGGGTATTTAGTACATGCTTATTGAAAAAAAATTAAGGAAATAAAGAATCCAAGTTAAAAAAATTCAAGTAAATTTCATTATAAATAGAAGAATAAATCTTGTGAGTCCATCTGGACCATATGTCCTAAGACTACAAGTATCTGAACTGAACCATAGATATAAAAGTCCAGTCTAAGACGGCTTCCCAGGACATGACATCTTATTCCTACATAAATTTATGTTCAAGCCCCTAGAAAGAGTGGGTACGTTGACTAAAAGATTCAAACATCTATAGCAAATTCTGTAATACCTTAAATTTACCTGGGCTATGCACAGACACTAAGGCTGAAGAATTGGTGAACAAATTGCTGCTTGTCTTCTCTATTTCTGTGTATTTAGAGCTTTCTCCAAGAACTGAAAGCTCATCACAAACATTGACCAATGATTACCCATACTTTCACTATATCTTGATAGGTATGTACATTCTACTATCCAGACATTAAGTAACCAGCACAAAAACTTAGCAAGTTAGAGACAGGCCCAAAATAAATGTGGAAGTTATTTAAGCCTCAGTCCATTCTCTGACTACTGTGTGTGTGTGTGTGTGTGTGTGTGTATATTTCCCCCCCCTTCATCTTAATGAAAAACCAATTAACTTGTATTTTCCTTTTGAACCAACTCAGAAAGCCTCTGTCAGGTAATTTTCATCTTCTAGTCTCTGGCTTAAAAACACAGTTTAGCACATCTGCACATAACATACTATAATACATGAATAACGCTAAAAATGTATTCATTAGCTTAGAGAAATCAACAGATCAATAACTACTTCAAACTAAAGTTTTGAACTATTTCTTTTTTTAAAAAAATTATTTTTTATTTTTTTATCCTCATCAGAGGATATTTTTTCGAGACATCGATGGCTGAGAGACACATTAACTGCTGCCTCCCGCATCCGGGCCAGGGGTCGAGCCTCCAACCGAAGTACATGCCCTTGTCCGGAATCAAACCTGGAATCCTTCAGTCTACAGGCCCACACTCTAACCACTGAGCAAAACTGGCTACGGCTAAACTATTTCTTAAACAGTTTAATAAAGTACTTTATAAACTCAAGCAAATTCTGTAATAATTTAAAAACTAATACTATGTAGAATAGCAGGGGAAACAGAATAGCAACGGTTCAAGATCTCTCACTGCTCTTTCCACAAACTTACACTTATAGGAATTATAGTATTCTAGTCTATTGTCTATATATTTAATTTCCCTTTAAATTATTATCTCCTCAAGGGCAAAGACTATTTAGTGCTGGTATCTCCACAGTATAGTAGAGTGCCTGGCACACATTGAGATGCTCAGTAAACATTACTTGAACAAATAAACTACTTAAGTAGTTAAAGAGGTATCAGAGAAATAGATGTGCCTTCAGAAGTGACCTGAAGGAATGGAGAAAAGGCTTTGCTTATATTTCTGTACAGAAACAGGAAAAATGGAGATAAGGTCAGTAGGTGAATAAGACAAAGGAAGTTAAATCTGAGAATATGGATGCAAACAACAGGCAATATCCGAAGATTTTTTTTTTTTAAAGGGGAAGCTTATACCATCAGAAAAAAAGGTACTAATTTGAGAAGAGAAAATAAATAGTATTCAGATAATAGTAAAAAAAACTGGTCACAAGGCTATGAGAGGGAAAGTCCAGAGAATATTACATCAAATTGGGAAATAACCAGTAGAATTCAGTTTATTTGCTATGTTTGGAAACAAAGTGTTTTTTTAAATTAAATGCTTCTGCTCACTGAACGGATCTGCATAAACTTATAACATGAAAAGTGCTTTTAAACGGTCAGATAATTATTGCAGTTACAGTACTTTTAAAAAAAACGATTACAAGGCAAGTGCATTCCGGCACTACCAAAGACCCCATAAAACAAAAAAATCACTAACAACCGCATTGAAAATGTACAACAGCAATGTCTTGTCAACACTTCTGTACAGAGCACAGACATGACAGCTAAAACAGACAGAAGAGAAGATGCTTTTGACAGCCAGTGTGTGTGAATGATTCTTTGAGTCAGATGGCAGCAACAAGTTACCAACTAAGAGATCTGCATGACAACTAACCATCCATCTGTATCAAACACCATCTGGCCGAGATGACTCTGGCTTCTGTGTATTTGACACTCTTTCCAATTCTAGACTAGGAAAACAAGTGGTCTACCAGCCTCTAAAGAGGCAAAACAGGTACTTAGGTAGTTGTGCTATAATGCACTTTGTAGTCTTTGTGTTCAAAAGGAAAACTTAAAACAATGGTGATCAAATACAGTACACATCTTAAATTTATTAAAAATGGTTGTCCAAACATACTCTCGACTACCATAAATCAATTAAAAGCTTATCTTAGAAATGTCCCTTTATCCAGGCAAAATCTGAATCTATCTTCAAAACTATAGGAGCATATTCTCCATAATTTGGACATACAGCTGCTCAAGTTGTCATGAGTTTCACAAATGTGAAAAGAATTCTATAAATTAAACTTTTTCCTATTGCTGACACTGAAAATTATCATTTCTCATATTTTCCAAAGCAAAATATTTCCTAGATGAAAAAAAAATTCTAGTGTCCTTAAGGCATCTATAATACTCTAAACAGATCAAACATTATCTCTTCTTAAACATTATCTCCTCATCCTCAAGAATTTATCTCAGTATTCTGAAAAATACCATTGTTTTCCTCCAAGTACAACAAAACAGGAATTTAATAAATGTTGAATGGATTTAAAAATTAGTCTTGATTTAAAAACCTTTCAAACTGTACCAAGATTAACAAAGAGAACAAAATCTTTAATGAAGGATTTGCTTGGCCACCACTAATGCTCTCCATAGGGAGCTCCACTGTTCATGAAGGAAGATAATTAAATATTAATTATCCCAATACATAGCACTTTAGACACAAACCAATTGTCTTATCTTGACACTTTGGTAAACTAAACATCAACTTCAATTTTAAGTTAAAAAAAAAAAGAAATTGTACAGGATTAGCAACTCAGGATCCTGGTTTACTCATTCTTCAACCATTCTCTATTCTCTTACAAGTAGGCAGAAGTCCTGCTATCCCTCACCCTCCCAGTACCAAGATTTATTTAGGCTAGAGCTACATTTGACAAGTCAGATTATCAATCTGATTATCTACTATTAGGTGACAGTGTTGCCACCAATTTCACAGCATGTCAAATGATAAACTAAGACAAACCATTTTTATTTTATAATCTTGTGTATTGGTCCTGATCAACTTACTTAGTCTCTTTGAGCCTTGGTTTCTTTCTCTTTGAAATGGAAATAATACTTACCTGAAGGATTGAAGGAGGGTGGGTGTATAAAATATATGACACATAATAAGCTCCTTGCAAACATTAATTCTTTTCCTTTAATTCTGAGCAAGCTATCTACATAATACCTATTACTATAGCCTGTAGTGCATACATTGATTAACTAAAGCTCTTATTACCACTGAACACAGGCAATTTGTCACCAGACTTACCATGCAACCACCCCATGCTCTAAGCCAGTTTTTTCAGTCTTTCTTCTAGTTCACTATAACCTATGACTCAGAAGTTTCTTTTTGAGAAATCAGAGTGATATCTCCTTTGGATCAAAAACATTCTGTCAAGCAAAAACAACAAAAAACTCTGGTTGTTCAATGTTTACAAAGAAAGTTTCTAAAGCCTAAAAAAAGGGCTCAAAAACCATTAAGGAATAATTAATGTCTGTTAATAATTACAAAAGAAGCATGTTTGTTGAAAAAAATGCAAACAACAAAATGTCTACCATAACCACCACCACAACAACCCAGATATGTACAAAGTAAAAAGTGACAGTCTCTTCCTTTAATTTACCTCCTCAGAGGTAACTACTATTGACCCTTTGGTATGTGCCCTTTCAGAACTTCTGTGTATATGTATATGTACCTTACTCTTTTTTAAAATTCTCATCTGAGGATATTTGAAATGCTCCAGGCAACTTTAGCTTAGTCAGCCATAAGATGTGGCAAAAACTACTAATTATTCCTCCATATACATTCTCATTCTTTTTTTTAAAGTAATATAAACTATTAGTTGGGCATATGGTTGGTCATCCAGCTAGGGAATATATTTACCAGTCTTCCCCACTATGAGGTGTGACCATGTAACTAAGTTTTGACTAACAGCGTGTGAACAGAAGTGACCTGTACAAATTCTGGACCATCTTGGCCTCTCTCTGTCACTCTCTCCCCTCCCCAACTAGAGCAGCCATTGTGATTCCAGAGATGAGAACCATATTTTAAGGATTCTTGAGCTGCCTTACCAGCCCTGGCTACTCACCTCTGGACTGTTATATGAGCGAGAAATAAACTTTTATCTTATTTAGCCATAATATTTCTTGATCTCTTGGTAACAACAGCTTATCCCATACAATAACCTATTCAGAGGCCAAGCCAACTCTATCACTGCCCTATGTAATAGCATCTTCTCTTATTCTGTGATTTGAACACCCCTCTATTTTGTAAGTCAGAAGACTTCTTAGTGTGGATACATACAAATGCTTACACAAAGCAAGAAGCAGAATAAGCAATATTAGACTGTGAACCCTTTAAGTGCATGCTTTATATTTTATTTATTTTTTAATCCCAAGCATTTATTATGATACATCCAAAATTGTTTGTAGAATGAATGAAATATTAACAGCAAACTTTATATTCTACCCTTTTTAGTAAGAGGTATAGATCACAAAGTAAGAATTTATCCAAGAAAAGAGGAGACTATATTAGATTCATAGCAATGAGAAGAAAACAGTTTGAAAACCTGAAATGGGCTACAATTTAGCTAGGTTATTATAATGAATATTGAATTTAGAGTCAGATAAACCTAGTTTCAGTATAGATTCTGTTACTTAGGCTGAAAAACTAACTTTATTAAGTATCAGTTTCTTCATTTGAAAATGGGCTAACAATGCTGACTTTATAGGGCTAAGACGATTCACATGTAAATATAAAGTCTGTAACATTTTACTAGACACTTAGGAGGTTCTAAGAGAACAAACAATTTAAAGGCACAGTGGCAGGACTGCCTAGGCATTACAATAGAAAATTTGGTATAGAAAAGAGAAAAACACTACTTGGGTGCCAGGGAACATAAAATAAACTTGATGATCAATAGTATGACACCAGTAGTAGTATGAGGGATCATCCTTTGAAACTTAAGTGAGGTAATTTAGGATAAATAAAAGGCAGCTTATAAAACTCATCACTCCCTTAAAATAGTACAAGTCAGAAAAAATAATGGGTATATAAGTTCAGGTCTGACATCAATTTAATGCGCCTTCCAAGTGGAAATTAGATATATGGGTCTAGATCTCAGAAGGCAGGTCTGGAGTAAGGAGATAAATTTAGCAGTCACTCTCAAAGGTATCTGAAGCCACAGGAAAAGATGAGATAGCTCATACAAGACTATAAAGTAAGAATCAAAGAAGGCCTTGAAAAACTAATATTTAGTGACCTGGAGGTAGTGAAACCTAACAAAGGAGACTGAGGAAGTGGGGCTCAAGAGGGTATGAGAAAAATCAAACATGGTGTCTAGAATGTTAAAGAAAACAGTATTTAAAGAAAGAGGTAGTACAAGAGATACGGTCAGTTATGAAATGAAATGAGGTAGCTCAATATGTATGAACTTGAAAGACTATCGATTTTAGGCAAAGTAGTTACAGAAAAAGTTATAGAAATGAAATCTGTGGTCAAGCAGATTTTTTCAAATCCCAGTTCTACTAGCTTTACTACTTATTAATTATGTGTTTGTGGGCAAGTTATTTCACCTCTCTGCACTTCATTTTCCTCATCTGAAAAATGAAAATAATACTTCCTTATCAGATTTGTAAAATGATTAAATTAGATGACTGTAAAACACTTTGACAAACATAGGCCTCAATAAATTTTAGTGAGGATAATAAAGAGAAAAACATTAAAAAATTTTAGAACCATTTTCAGATTAGCATGATTCCATTTCTGATAAAATATGATGCACATATTCTGGAAAGATATATATCAAGTTACTAACAGTGGTTGCCCCTGGGGAGTGAGAAAGAGGACCATCACTTTATATTCTGTGTATCTTGAATTATTTGCATTTTTTTCAATAAGCATATGCTGCTTTTGTAATTTTGGCCAATAATATTTTACAATCACTTACCTGCCTTATTTGTCTTTGTCGCCCTTATTAATTTGAAATACTCAAATGCATCTGCTTGACAGAATGTTCTTGAATGGATGTAGCACACTGACTTCTCAAAGAGGAGCTTCGGAGTCTTAAACTGCAGTGAACTAGAAGAAACACTGTGACAAGAGCTGGCTTGGAGTATGAACAGCTAAGTGGTAAAAGACTGGTGAGTTTGTTCAAACTGATGAATGACAGATGGACAGCAATAAAACAGCTAGTAAGAAAATCTAGGCTACACCAATTATAATTTGTTTTGTAACAGATTTTTTAAAAAGTTATGATAAAATATATAAAATTTGCTGTTTTAGCCAGTTTTAAGTGTACAGTTCTGCAACACTAAGTAAATTCACGTTATTGTGCAGCCATCACCACCATCCATCCCCAGAATTTTTTTATCTTCCCCAAATGAAATTCTGTACCCGTTAAACATTAACTCTCCATTCCCCTTCCCCAGCCTCTAGAAACCACCCTACTTTCTGTCTCCATGAATCTGACTACTCTAGGTATCTCATAAAAGTAGAATCATTTTTTGTGACAGTCTTATTTCACTTAACATAGTATCTTCAAGGTTCATCTGTGTTGTACCATGTGTCAGATTTCCTTCCTATTAAAGGCTGAATAATATTACATTGTATGTATATATAGAATTTTGTTTATCCAATCATAAAGTGGTATTACAGTGACTGATTTTGTATGTTACTCATCCTTGCATTTCAGGACAAATCTGATTTGGTCAAGGTGTGTAATGCTTGTAATATGCTGCTGAATTAGGTTTGCTAGTATTAGGGATATGAGTCTGTAGTTTTTCTTATAGTGTTTTTGTCTGGCTTTGGTGTTGGGATAACACTGGCCTCATAGAATGAGTTAGAAAGAATTCTATCCTAATCATTTTTTTGGGAAGAATGTGAAAAGAATTGGTGTTCATTCTTATTTGAATGTTTGATAGAATTCATCAGTGAAGCCTCTGGGTCCTGGGCTTTCTTTGTGGGGAACTTTTTGATTACTGTTTCAATCACTTAGGTTTTCTATATTTCATGATTTAGTCTTGGTAGGTTGAGTGTTTCTAGGAATCTGTCCACTTGGATCAAGGTTATTTAGTTTGTTGGTATGCAACTTTTCCAAGGTTGTCCTGTTTCTTCTCTTCTTCTCTTGCTCCATTCTCTTTCTCCTTGATACCTCTTTTTCCTATCACTTCAAATATCATCTCTACAAAGACAAGTTCCAAATCTGTATTTGCAACTGATACCTTATTCCAAAGATCCACATTTCAAATGCCTGATTATCTTCCCCTGACTAATCTTCTGACATTTGAACTCAAAATATCCAAATAATAATTTCCTTTACCAAATCAGTATTCTCTATTTCTGTGGCTGCATCATCAATCTTCCATTCATCCAGGCTGAAAATCTTGGAAGTACTTAAAATGGTATTTAAAAACTTAGGTCTAACCTGAGAGCCTTTGTTCTTATCTCCATACTAGAAGTTTGAGACTTGTATATATAATCTTATTACTAAAATTATAAATGAGAAATAACTAGATTGTTTTATTTCAAAGTTCAATGTCATTTCTGGGAGTAGATACATGAGGAGAAATTAGTGATTTACATTTGGTACTTCTGATTCTGTAAGTTCGAAAACAATAAATGTTCCATAAAATAAAATCTCAAGATATGTCAAAAGGAAGTATAAATGTATTCTCACACACATGTTTTAGAAAAAGTTAAAAATAAAGTATAAAACCCAACGTCAGAACTCTTATTTCATTATATTACAGGCATACCTTGTTTTATTGCACTTCCCTTTTCTGTGCTTCATAGATACTGCCTTTTCATCAACATTGAGCCAAGACTATCAGTGAAATTATGACTCACTGAAGGCTCAGATGAATTTACTGAATAAATCTGATGTGTAACATTGTGTAAGTTTAAGGTGTATATCATGTTACTTTGATACATGTATATATTGTAATATCATTACCACTGTAGTGTTATTTATCACATTACCTTATTATAGCACAATATTACTGTCTACATTCATTATACTGTTCACTAGGTCTCTATGTCTTATTTACTACTTGTTTGTACCCTTATTTACTACGTTTGTAACCTTAAACACCATAAGTCTTATTCTTCCCCAACCTGACCCCCTGGTTAATACCATTTAACTGTTGTTGTTTTTTATAAGTTTGACTTTTTTCAATTTTACATATAAGTGATATATGATAACCCTTCAACTTCTGGTAACTACCACCTCCTATCTGCAAACTTATCTTTTTTTTTTTTTTTTTTAAAAATATATGTTTATTGATTTCAGAGAGAGGAAGGGAGAGGGAGAGAGAGAGAAACATCAATGATGAGAGACTCATTGACTGGCTGCCTCCTGCACGCTTCACACTGGGGATCAAGCCCACAACCTGGGCATGTGTCCTGACTGGGAATCAAACCTCGATCTCCTGGATCCTAGGTCGATGCTCAACTGCTGAGCCACGCCTGGCCAGGCTGCAAACTTATCTTTATTTGCAGCTATGTTTTCCTTTTGTTCCCTCCAGTTCTCAGAGGAACAGATGTTTCTCCTCTTGTTCATAGTAAATTCCTTAACCTATTTCTGACCAAAGGAGTTGGCCTTATTTCCTTCCTCTTACCCTTTTCTCCTTCAACTATTTTTTCACCCTGTACACTCTAACTCAGAAATGTTATCCACATTCAAGGCTATAATAAAATCAGTTGTTCTATAATCTGTATCTATAGTATCCAATTCAGAACTCCATAC